CCCCCCCCCCCCCCCCCCTACTTCCGCTAACAATGTTGTGGCCAAAAAAAGCACTCATTTTCACCCATGGTGCTCAAAATTCAACTTTGCTTAGGGTGGGATGGGAGGGGTGGCTAGTTTTACTGAAATCACTAGAAAGGTCCCAACCCTTTTTACCTCCATTGTAGACAACTTGTATGGTAGCCGAGTATAACACAGAATATTTTAAAACGCGCTTATTTTTATTTCAACGCCTTCACCTCACATATTGCAAGAGACGATTTGTTATTCAAAATATCGTAATTGATCGACGTTTATACCGGGTTAATTCTTCAAAGCCAAATTTGGAAGATGTTTGCAATTATTTGATAATTGACGTTGATAATGGAATGATAGGACAATTATCTACGATTGCTGTGCGCGAGACGCCACCGTAGAAGCTTGGTTGGTTCATGACAAGTTTACGATTACGGTTAGACTTGCTACAAGTCGACCTCTTGGCGAGCGGAGCGAGCCTTGTTTGGCCGCGAAGCGGCCGACCGCGAGCGACGAAGTCGCGAGAGCTTCGTCCCGTGCCATATGAAATCCGACGAAGGACTTTTGGAAAGTCTAGTTTACGGTCAACATGTGTTTTTGTTGAAGATACTCGATAAACCTAATTTTAAAAAAAAAATCGACTAACTAACCTGTAATGAAGCACCGACTGGGATAAAAGGTGTCAGAAGTTGTCTGTTTTTCTTTTCTTTTTTTTTTGGGGGGATTTTTCGCTATGTTTACTGAAACATTACAGGCCTTTTAATAAAATTTAACTTCTCGCAATACCCTTTACTTCCATCCAACCTACATTTCTTTACTCACAAGAGTTTGGATCAGTTATGTAGCGACCTGACATACCCTTAATAGTTTCATTATTTTTCCATATCAGTTTCGTGTTTTTAAAACGTATCAGTTTCAAAAATCACTTTCCTTCACTATTTCATTCAGTTTTTACTTCTTTTTGTTCTTTGTCTTGACAGGCACATTTAGAAAATTGCGAAGGTCTCCTTACTGCCTGTCCAAACAACTGCGGGATTAGAATTGCAAGTGACAAGGTGATGCCATTAAATCAGTTTCGTTTTCTCAGCTGATTCCACAGTTATTGATATTATAAGTGTGAAGTCTTATGTGAATCGCCTTTTTGACCCTGCATAAAAACCGTGAGGATCACGATCAGTTAGGTTTAGTTTTCTTCACTGCAAAGATTGTGGTGTCCTTTCCTGTGGGCGCGCTCTAAAAAGGCAGAGCGAGACTGGGTGCGGGCCGATCTGTTATTTCCGTGATCCTCTTTGATTCTGTCCTTTGTGAGTCTATTGCTGTCCAATGTAACTCTCAACCACTATCTAGATCCCCGGGAACTCTTTAAACCACGTCATCTTTTTTAGTCAAATTACCAACGTCTTTTGGGCGCACTATCTGTGAATAAGTGTAGTCTCGGATTTAGAAACCATGCGCACACCTTGTTGTTAAAGGCAGCGGCGAAGTTGATGCCCTGCAATGGTGCTTTGTTGTCTAGTCTCTATAATTTTCTTCAAGAAATTTATGAAAAAAGTTGTAAGAGGTCTATGTTGTAGTAAATAAATATGCGTATAACTCAAATTAGCGCTGTCTTTTTCCAGGTGTCAGATCACATTAACAATACATGTCCACTGACAGAAGTTCCCTGCCCATATAATTGGCTGGGCTGTTTCCTAAAGGTAAGTTTGGTTGTTAACTTAAGACGCATTTTCCCCATACTACGTGAGGAAAGCGTATTGCACCATAACAACAGAAACGGCTTCCTGTCTCACCCGGATCATTACTTAGATCATTGTCTTTTACCGACCTTTAGCAGAATGCTATTCATTTCTTTGCATTAACCAATAAAGGTTTCTTTCTTTGTTTTTCATACTGCCCATTGTTAGGAGTGAAAGTGATGCATAAATGCATTGTCTGAATTAGCTCGCGCTATGAAAAAAACATGAAGGTAGAGTCCTTATTTTACGTCGGCAGCTCGAATTAGTCATCTGACCAACCAACAGGAGTGCGCTCGTTTTACCCCCCCCCCCCCCCCCCCCCCCCCCCCACCCCCCCTCCCTCCTTCCCTCTTCTTTGCAACAAGAAACAGAGGGCCTCCCTCCTTTCATAGGCCATAAAAAAAAAAAAAAATACAAAAACAAAAGCCCTTCTTATGTCAAACAAAGAAAAAAAACAATTGGAATAAAATTAAAAAAAAAATAATCAATTTTATACGACTTCTTACAAAGTACAAGT